CCCCTCGACCCTCAATCTCCGTCATCACCTGCACAAGCATGATCGCCTCGTCCCGAGTCCGCTGCTTGAGCTCGGTTTGCTCGGACATCCATAACAACCTTTTTTTCCAAAAAGCCCACCTCTCCCGCGTCAGCCATTCATGTCCGTCGCCCTTCTCTTCCTTCCACAGGGATCTTTCGGAACCACTTGACCATAACCACAGCCAATACTCGCTTGTGTTGTGCTCATGGTTTTCTTGATGTGCCGCTGCGAACCTCCAAGCTATCAGATCTCTGTCGGTATATCGGTACATTATATCCCCTGCTATCACCAGGAATGGGATTATGCCGTGAACGTCGGTAGCAGTCTTAAGCACTTGGGCTTCGCGCGAGCTGAGGGCGGAACCACTATCAAGACCATACCCCTTTTCAAGGGTCATGAACAGCCTGGCGAAGGCTTCACTCAGCTCAGAGGTGTAGTAAAAGTCGGGAGGATGCAGCACAAGATGACGGGCCACGAATGCATTGGCACGTGGGTAGGCGGGATATTCCGTGTCCGGACCACGCCGGTGATACCGCCATTCATAATATCCTGTCCCGGTTTGTTAGTCGAGTGTTGGGTGAGCCGTGGGGTGTTAGAATGGGTACATCATACTCATCCGTCTAGTTGCCCAGACATCCCAAAAGTCCTCCATTGACCTCCACCGCTCCAACTTCTCCGCCCCAAACCGGACCTCCTGCTCAGGCGTCGCATCCAGACGGGGAAGGGCCATGGCAGCGTCGACAAGTACCAGGATAGCGACCTGATGCTGTACCATTTCAATGCCAACATCCCATAGCAGATAGGCAATTCGCTCACCCTTGTCCCAGTCGCCATCGCATGGCACATGGTCCTCATTGAGCGACATGAGTTTGCGAGCTGTCTCTTCCGCGTTCAGGGCGTTTGGGGTGTAGTAGGCCTGTACGAACTCGCGCAGCGCTGCGGCCTCCTCCGGTGTCGATGACTCCTCATTATCCATCAGGCCAAAGTCGGACCAGTCCTCCGGGTCACTGATGAAGTCCAGCTCGATACCCATGTCCAGGGCAGCTTGCGGGATGGAAAGTGTTGTGGACATACTGGGGAGAGTATGC